AGGAATAGTGTAGTGTTAAAAAACTTAACTCTGAATATTTCTCAAAACAGACTATATATGTAGGTTAATATTTAGTTATATATTATACATATTTAAGGTAGTGAGTAACAATGATAGAATAAAAATGATCATTTACATGTCACAGCAATGTATTTCTGGCAATAATTTTTACAGAAGTCTGAAATTGCTCAGATTGATAATTTTTCACAATAGTACTATCATTTGTATTCTAGAAGAAACCCATTTATTTTTATTATAGACCTCAACAATCACTTCTGCCTACAATTCATTGTTAAATAGTTTTCTAAAATAAATGCATATGAATTATAGTAGAAATGAAAGCAAACTATTGTACAATCATACATCAAACTAAGAAAGTTCATCATGTTTTATTTATAAGTAGGTAGTAGTCATAAGTCATTTGCAGAGGAAAAAAATACAGAGAAAACGCATATGTTCTTTAAGATTGGCAGCTAGTGTGCAAAAATAAATTCTTCATCTCAATAAAGCTAATCATAGATTTACCATTTGATCCAGTAACCATACTTCTAGATATTTATCTAAAATGAGATGAAAATGTATGTCCACATAACACTTTGCACCTAAACATTTATAGCAGCTTTATTCAGAATTGCCCCAAAGTGGAAAAACTAAGATGCCATTCAATAGGTGAATGGATAACCAAACTGGAGTAGATACATTCAGAGTAGTATTATTCAGTGGTAAAAAGAAATGAGCTATCCATGAGCAGCCATCCAATATGCAACTCTTGGTTTTTCCATGTGTGGAAGAAAGAAGAATGATGAAAATTGAAGATGCTTGGAATCAATTAGTCCAGTGATTAATGGAACATGCGAACATCAATCTCCATGACTCTGAGACCAGAATTAGACAGTGTCATCAACTTCTCTGAAAGGGATCACATTAGAAGGTTCTTGATACAGTGGTAAACACTGTGGAGCAAAACTCAAAATTACAAAAATAGACAGGGCTTACTGATCAGAAAGACTCTGGTCCACAATTATTCTTCATATCTGGAACAGAACTCATGCTCAGGACCCACTTTTCAGCCAAGTGGTAGACAGGTATGTGGGGGAGAGCAGGGTACAACAAGATGAGAAACGTATGCTCACCATGGAACTGTCAACCATTCCAGATCAAAAGGGCAACATTTTCCTAAAGACAAAATTGAGAAGGATTGGGAAGGAGGGTGGAATGGAAATAAGAACCACAGGGAAGAAGGGGAATAACTGTTGTTACAGGGAGGGGATTGCAATCATTGAGATGAAACAAAGTGTGTGATTTGTTGATTGTAAAACACATTATTTGCTCTGTGAACCTTCATTACTAGCTCATAAAACCCAAACTGAACCCATTGCTGTGGTGTCAATTCTGACTCTTGGCAACATTATAGGACAAAGTAGAACTACTCCATAGGGTTTCCAACATTGAAATCCCTTTGGAGCAGACTGCTATAACTTTCTCCTGCCAAGCAGTTGGTGGATTTGCACCACAGATGTTTCAGTTAGCAGCTGAGGGCTTAACCTTAGAGCTGCAATGACTCCTTCCTTATGGCGCTGTTAAGCATCGCCAGGTCAACTCCAATTCATAACAACTCTGTGCACAACAGAATGAAACACTGCTGGTCCCTGCACCATCCCCACAACTGCTATGTTTGAGCCCATTGCTGTTGCCACTATGTTAATGCATCTTACTGGGGGCCTTCTTCTTTTTTGCTGACTCTCCACTGTACCAAGCATGATGTCCTCTCCATGGACTTGTCCCTTATTACAACATGTATTGACTAATAGTGACCCTGTATAATGTTTCTGAGGAGTGGTTGGTGAATTTGAACCACCAACCTTTTGGTTCAAATTGACCTAGCGGTCCAGTGTTTTATCCTACAGCGTCACACCAGTACTCTAAATAAATAGCAGTCAAATTGATGAATAAACATATTAAATTGTACTCATTGAATTTAGAGGAGGTAATTTAAGAAAGAAGAGAAAAAAATCAAAGAAATAAAATGAATTTGGGAATAATAAGATGAGTGATAAAAGATTATCCTCAAAGTGAAGGTTGGTGTACATAAATTATTATGTCCTAACAGGGTTCACTGCAGGGCTTAATTTAAAGTTACCTGAATAGAAAATGTAATAGACGTAACAACCACCTTCTAGCCAAGGTTTTATAGCCATTACAGGCTAAATTACAGCACATAATGTCCTTTGTTTTTGTTTTATAGACGCCATCAAAGAAAGCTATTGGAATGACAATGATTATTAAATTTTGTCCAGTGTTTAATTCCTTTAATCCATTATTTCTTCAGCCAAAGAAGATGGAGGAGAGGAAACAACTTGTATAGGAAGATATTTGTGCTACAGTTTCCACAATAAATTCACAGATAATTTAGGAAGCAGTGATGGTACAATGAATGGGCTAAGTGTTGGGATACTAACCAAAAGGTGTTTCCAACCTACCAGTTGCCCCCATAAAGATTTATAGGCTTGGAAACCCAATGGAACAGTTCTGTTTTGTTATATAGGGTTGTTATGAGTAGGAATTGATTTAGTGGCAGTGGATTTGGTGTGAATATGTACTTTCCATTCTAAAGATTTAGCCAAAAAATTTTTTTCAAATCCTTCTACTAATATTGGTAAGAGATTGAAAAATAAGAAAATTTGAATTTGATATCTCCTTTCAATTGCATGTACCATCTGTTAGTTTGGTTGTTTTATTAGAGGTCTTTGAAAAGGCCAAACTTGATATGAAAGCTGATCCAAGTTACAGGAAGATACATTCTTGATTTAGTCTTCCTTTTTGTTTTTAGTATATTTTACGATGGAAGGAATACATAGTCACTGTACCAAAAGGAAATGGTTGGTGTTCAACCATTTCAAGAGGTAGCACATGATCAAGAACCTATGACACTGAAGGAAGAAGTCTAAGGTGCATTGAAAGAATTGGCAAAGAACATGGCTGCAGGAATTGATGAAATAAAAACTGGAATCTTTCAAGAAAGCGAAGCGTCTCTGGAGGTACTTACTCACCTATGCCAAGAAATTTGAAATATCTGGCCAACTGATTGGATGAGATCCATATTTGTGTCTATTCCAAAAAGAGGTGACCTGACAGAATGCGGAAATCATCAGAAAATATCTTTGATATCTCATGCAAGTAAAGTTTTACTAAAGGTAATACAGAAATGGCTGCAAGCATACATTGACACAGAACTTCCAGAGGTTCAAGCTGGATTCAGAAGAGGATTTGGTTATCATTGCTGATGTCTGATGGATCTTGGCTGAAAGCAGAGAATACCTGTGCTTTATTGATTATGAAAAGGCTTTCAATTGTGTGGATTGTGCAAGCTATGGGCAACATTGTAAAGTATGAGTATTCCTGAACACTTAATTGTGCTCATGAGGAATCTGTACATGGACATAGAGGCAGTTGTTGGAACAAAACATGGGAACACTGAATGGTTTAAAATAAAGGATGGTGTTAGACACAGTTGTAGTCTTTCACTATAATTATTCAACCTGTATGATGAGCAAATAATCCGAGAAGCTGGGTTATATGAAGAAAAACGTGGCATCAGGATTGGAGGAAGATTCATTAACAACCTGCGATATGCAGATGATAAAACCTTGCTTGCTGAAAGAGAAGACTTAAAATACTGATGAAGATCAAAGAACACAGCCTTTGATATGGATTGCATTTCAACATAAAGAACACGAAAATCCTCACCACTGGACCAATAAACAACAATCTTATCAACAGAGAAAAGATTGAAGTTGTCAAGGACTTCATTCTTCTTGGATCAACTATCAACACTCATGGAAGCAGATGTCAAGAAATCAGATGTATTGCATTAAGAAAAATTGCTACACAAGACCTTTTTAAAGTGTTGAAGAGCAAAGATATCAGCTTGGGGACTGAGGTACGCCTGACCCAAGCCATGGTATTTTCAATAACTTCATATGCATGCAAAAGCTGGACAGTGAATAGGAAGATTGTAGAAGTATTGAGTTATGGTGTTGGAGGAGAATATTGAAAGTGCCCAGGGCTGCCATAAGAACCAATAGATCTGTGTTGGAAGAAGTGCAGCCAGAGTGCTCCTTGGAGGCCAGGATGACCAAACTTCATCTCTCTTACTTCGGACATATTGTCAGGAGAGACCAGTCACTGGAGAAGGATATCATGTTTGGTAAGGTGGAGGGTCAGAAAAAAGGAGGAAAACCCCCAGCGAGAAGGATTGGCAAAGTGGCAACATCGATTTGTTCAAGTGTGGCAACAATTTGTGAGTTGGGCCCAGGACCAGGCAGTGTTGTGCATAAGGTTGCTATGAGTCGGGACCAACTCAATGGCACCCAACAACAACAATGGATAGAAAAATTCAAACTTTTTTTCCCCTAGAAATTATTAGGAATACATTTGTAATGATGAATGGCACTAGTAATTCTGATATAAAAATATATACTGTACAGAAGTGTCCTCAAACAAATACTATTGGTGTTTTAAGCCTTAGTTTTTTTTACTGCCTCACATATTTTTTATTCTCTGAAAGCCTTTTCTTCATGACACAGCCTCCGGTACCAACTTCCTTGTGTTTTTACAACTATGGGTAATGCAAACAGAATTACCTGTCTCTAGAGAGTCATCAGAGTCTGCTAAGGTGCCACTGACAGCCTGTGTTGTCTGCTGAAACATAATAAGGTTTATCCTTAATAAAAGTTTCAGCTTATAGCCAGTTAGCTCAATTTGCTAGGTTGCTAATGAGACCAAGCTCAAGGTGCAAAGCTTAATAGAGTCAATCAACTTCATACCATTCTTTAGTCACCTACTGCTCCTAAACCCTATACAATTGTTTTGTAAATGCATGCCATCATTCACAACAGGAATTGAGCATGAAAAAGGAAGTGAATTAAGAGAAATCTATCAGTACTGATAAAGCAACATGATGGAGAACAGGGCAGTTAAATTAATTTCATTTTTATATACAATAGGCAGTATAGCATTACTAAAGAAAATTATTTCTTTTAATGTGATTTTTCTCACACTATTTGTCGATTGAGCTCTCACACTCTCTGCTACCCTCTTGCCCCAGATATTCAGATTTTTATCTAGAAGTTATTGTGACACAAGCAAATGTAGAAGAGTACAACATATATAATAGGCTGTCAATAAATATTTTCAAAATTTCTTTTGGAATTTTGAATGCAAGAAAAAATAAAGAACCAAAGGGACTTTGTTTTGTTTTTTAAATTGCACTCCCTTTCAGTTTCAAAAGCAAATAATAATTATGTTATTGGATGACAATGGATTAAGTGACTTCAAATGTTTTATTAACAGACGACACTCACATAAACATTGTTTTCTAATTTATGACTCATCCTTGCACACACTTGACTTATTTTCAACTACTTGTTGGCTATTTCCAACTGGATGGCCTAGTCATTAGTGAGAGTAGTGTTTGTGAAAGAAGTTATTAGTCCTGAGGCAGAAGATAAAATGATAAACTATGTCCTGGTGTGGCGCTGCAGGATGAACACTGGACTTCAAGGTCAGTTTGAACTTCAAGGCTGGTGGTTCACACTCACCGTTCCTTGAAAACCCTACACAGGGTATTTATGAGTTGAACCCACTCAACACCACTTAACAATGTATCTGTTTATCTATCGATCTATCTGTTTATCTATCGATCTATCCATCTCTATCAATCTACCATTCATCTATATTCACTATGATGCCGTCAATTGCAATTCAGAACAATTTTATATAGGGCTTCCTAGAATGTAAATCTTACTGGAGCAGAAAGCTTTATCTTTCTCCAATGAAGCAACTGATGGATTTGAATCGCCAATCTTGTGGTTAGCAGTTCAGTGCTTATGCTACAATACCACTAGGAATCTTTATCTCTACCCCTTGTCCCTGTGCTACCATATATGCCATCTGGTCACAACAATGTTCTGTAAAATATTCAGTAGAAATATATATACAATGGGAAAAAAAGGAAAAAAGATGCCTTCCTTCTTCCTATTTATGTTGTTAAGTGTCTTGAGTTGGTTCTGACTCATAGTGATCCTGTGTAGGGTTTCTGAGGAGTTGCTGGTGGGTTTGAGCCATAAACCTTGTAGTTCAAACTACTCACCTTGCACCCAGTATTTTATCCTACAACATTCCTATTAATAGCTGGACTTTTGTAGAAAACCCCAAAGTAGTTTATTGTTGGAGTTGGAGGATACTTTTCACTTTTAAAATAGCAGAGTTGAAGGCAGGGCTTGATGGCAGCTAGGGCGGAGGTGCAGCAAAGTTCGTCATCAGCAATAACACAGAATACCAGGCAAAGCAGATCCAGGGCAGAGCTCCAAAACTCGGAACCACAGAGATAGGAATATTTTAAGTATTTGAAGGCTTAAAGCTTGTGGAAATTGGAGCTGAAGTAAAAAATCATGTACTTTTGAATCTGCTGGACTGGGCCCGGATGCCCAGAGCTGACATCTTAGGTGAGACCAAATGGCAAGACCAAATGTGGAGAGCAGAAACACCATGGAAAAATGCCACGGGAAACTTGGGGCAAAGGTGGACAATAC